GTGTTTTGTAAGCCGCCCTGAGTCCCCTCAGGGAAAAGGGCGGCCTATAAATTATAATAAACATTCCCAAACATTCCCAAATGGGGCCAGAAAGGAAGTACTCAAGAGAATGCCAGACATTCCCAAAGAATTACTAAATTCTAGGACTAATAAATTGTGTTAGCTATGGATACAATTTCACGTGTGTCCAAACTATTTTGAAGTTAACTTTGCAGCATTTTTTTTAAAAAATCACAGCAATAAAGCTGCTTATCAAATGGGGATACTTTATTCCTTTTTTGTGAACAGCTCCGGAGAAAAACCCTTCATTTTTCTGTTGGAAATGTAATTGAAACAAATCTTTTTTTCTCAATTCTCTTTGAATTAGATTTGACGATATACTACTCTAAAATCTAATACTGGTTACAAGTGGTCTTCATTATTTGCTGTTCCAGCCTGCCAACTGCACATAAAAAGAACCTAGATAATTATACCTTGAAAAGAAGAGCAGTACACATGCGGAAATGTTCATCTGCCATGACATACAGGCAGAACATAACAATAACAACAAATTAAAAAAAAAAACTTTCCATCAGGTATCCTTTAAAAAAACATGGTTATGTAAAACCATATGAGATGGCACTGTGGATAACAAGGTCTTCTTTATGCATATTAGAGAAGATTTAACTATATACCAAGGAACTGAATGCAATCTCTTCAATATGGAGGTTTAGATATGGAAACAGCCAGGAATGTCACTAAGTAATTATCTAAGAATAGATAATCTAATCTATATTACCTAGTTGTTACCAAGGTGAAATAAAATTGTAATCTCTTATACAATGAGTGCATACATAGCTTTCCTTCTTAAGGGCTAACACTTGCATATATCACTCTTATATAGGAAGATAGAGTTGCATATATTTTTCTAAAGTGAACTATATTCCTAATTGCCATCAGGTAATTGCTAAATGATCTTTGTTTGTCTTTTCAAAATCTTCCAGTTCTAACAGATTAATAGACTAGAGCAGTGTTTCTTAACCTTGGTGACTTTAAGTCCTGTGGACTTCAACTCCCAGAATTCCCCAGCCAGCTGGGGAATTCTGGAAGTTGAAGTCCACCGGACTTAAAGTCGCCAAGGTTGAGAAACACTGGGCTAGAGTTTATAAATGATAAAGCCACGTATACTGATGGCTGTTAGCAAAACACTACCCTAACCAAAGCCCATCATCACTCTTTGCCATTTAAATATTATGGGAAAACTAAAAATGATCTGTGCAGTTCAATCCTAAAAATATTTATTTAAGTGCTTCCTATCAAAAAGGAAGGTCACGTAAAATGATAGCCAAGCAAGTCTGATCCTGTACAATTTTACAAAGAAATGGAGTGTCAAGTTTGTTTTTTGAGAATGTTCACCTATCATAATTCTAAATTGAAGTTACTTGCAAGTTGCATTCAATTTAGGCCCAAAATAAATATGTGAGTCTAGATTTACTGCTATGAATGTCCTATTCTGAAAAAAATGGAGAATTAAATCATATTCAGGAAATAAATGTTCATTCTGACAGCTAAGACAAGCACAAACATTTATAATACATACTTTGCCACACCTTCCTTTGAAGGTTTTATTGTTGAAATATACTGGTAATATTTTTTCAACTAACATAATGTATGTTTGGATGAGATTTCAAGTACTATTTCTCTTCTCTTTAACAGAACTGTCCAAAAGATAGATCTGTGAATATTTAAAACATATCTTTAACAATTCTCTTGCTCACTCATTTACAAGGAAAAATAACCTTTCATAAGGACCCATCTTGACATTAGAAGCAAACTGATATATTAGATATCTAAGTCATGTTCTCCGCATGTTGCCAAATCATTGACGTTCATTATCATGGGTAAATAAGTGAAATGTAGCATCTGACCTTCTTCTGATTCAGATGACTTAGCGCCAAATATAGTTACAAAGGCGGTATTCAAAACCCATTATTGTATAGTTTACTCACACCATTCACTGCTGTCTTCTGGATATCCCAGGTTAGGCTTTCCCTTCCAGAATTTGCAGATGTTACTGGATAGCTGACAGGTCCATCAATAGTGCTTCTTTCAAATAAAAAATTAAAAAGTAATGAGAAATAAGGCAAGGAAAAGTATCATATTATATAATAGCAAAGTTTCAATAAAAAAATTAATGGATTTTGAATAACTGGAACTGAAGACTCACTTCAAAGCGTTTTTAGAATCCTTGTTTTAAAAAGCACGAACTATACTGTATTAATTTATAATTTCTAATCCTCCTTTTTTGTTTTCTACTTTCAAACATGTCATAAAAACACATTTATGTGTATATAAATTTGTGTGTAGAGCAATGATTCAGTAAAGAAATCTACAAGGATAGTTTTATAATTTGTTATGGGTGCATTACTTGGAGCCTGACATTCTGTATATATGCCTTTATTTAATATATATTGATTAAGAAGTCTGCCCACATACAAAACTGTTGTGGCCCAGCAGGAACCGTTGGAGCTGCCACCAGACTCCGACAGCGAGGGGCCCTATGAGTCAGCTTTGGAGGACCCTGGACAGGGTTCCGACTCCGAGCAGGGCGCAGAGAGGCTGGTTGGCCACCAGGAGGCGCCTGAGCCTTGGATCACTGGGAAGGAGACAAGGGAGTGTGATCCGGATGCCAGCAGTGGGGAGGAGCCAAGGGAGTTGTTCCCGGATGCCCGGCACTGGAGAACTAATAGGCGTAAGGAACAGTTGCGCAGTTACAGGAGGTAATTGCGCTCAGCTGATGGTCATTAGGCTCCTCTCCAGTCTATAAAAAAGA